GGTCTGCACTTGTTAGTAGCCCCCAGGCCCAATCAAATATTGGGCCTGTGTCCTACTTCTAGGGACCAGCCCAGAAAGATATTGTGTATTGTGTAAGGCCAGCCTGCAAGAAAATGTGTTTTTGTCTAATAACCAAGCTAGGTGCTTAGTGTTTTGTTAAATTTATTTGATCTCTAAGCCAGGTCTGTTCTCTTCATTGTCTGGGGCTCTGTGCTTTCCTGCACTCAGACCATATGAGAGCAGTTTGCTCAATGTCCTCTGCTGACGCTGTTCCTGTGGGGCACCTGTGCTTAAATACAGGTGTCAAGAGGGGTGTCCTGTTAGCACCTTTGGCTGGCAGTGAACTGAATCTAGAAATACTCATAGCAGAACACTTTAATAACCTCCTGGCCCACTCAGATCTTGTACTTGAGTCCTTTCTCAAAGGCCAGCTCGGAAAATTGCTTTATTTACTCACATACACTCTCAGCTATGTGTCTTCTCTTTTTACTGCAGCAGCCCGTAGACACCTCTTGCGTTTGATATCTGTCAACCTGTTAAAATTGCACTCTGAGCAAGCCTGTTACCTACAGTATAAACTGTCTATTTGGCGTAAAAACCTTCATTTCTTACCACAAAAAATCCACAGACTGAACCTGTGAATTATCTTTTCTTTACCCAACCCAAGTTGTAGGTTAAACCATAACCCTTTTTCCTACTAGTATATGATGAATTTACTTATTGTTTGCCTCGGTCAGTTTTACAGGCCTTAATCTAAACTGCTTACTTTTCTGAACTGACATTGGCAGTGCTGGGTAGCTTTACCATCCATTCACAGAGAATGACTTGGTCTCTGTCTTCAGTAGTGTCTCCTAGTGATGTGTTTGCTCTAGGTGTCTCATGTGGTATGTGTATTTTAATTAAGAAAAGTAGCAGTTAATTATAGTTATGTAGATAGGAGGACTGGTCACAGCCACTAGTAAAGATGAACATGTTCTCTCTTTCGGTTCCTTGGTTTTTATATGTTCCCATGTGGAATCACATGCCCCATGTAATACTGCCAAGGCTTGTAACACTAGAGGAACGGTAAAGCATCCATCAGCAAAGGCAATTAACATCAAGACAAGAACTCGGCCTTGACCAGTTCAGGACATACATGTCAGTGTAAAATGTTCATAATTTAAACCAGAGCTTGTCTGTTGTGATGAAATAATTTATGCATGTAGTGCAAATTCAAAGGTGTGGTTAATACATAATTATGAACCCGAAGATAAGCAAAGTTTTGTTTTTAGCTGTAGGGGACAGTTTAATACTTCCCCACCCAAAAGAAAACACAGTTAGCAACAGAGCAATTGAAATTAATGCAAGAGGTCTGAGACATTCAAACCAGCCCAGTGTTTTGTTGCATGACTGGACCCTGCGTGTTTCATCTGACAAAGGGCTGTTGCTCGAGTCACAGGCAGAGGAAAGCTGCTCCAGCTGCTGCCCCCTTGTGGTGAAGTGTGCACACAGAATGCCTGGCTTGTGCGATATTCTTTCCTGGGGAGTGTGAGCACTAGTGTGTCAACGGAGTGAAACCGTGACGGCGCGGGCCCCTCAGTCTGACCTTTTTCCTGTCGTGCTGCCCTTAGGTACCTGGTGACAGAGGGCCAGATCTTCATCCTCTACATCTTCACCTTCTTCGCGATGATGGCCACGGTCATGCACCAGAAACGCAAGGGGTTTGTGCTGGACAGCAACGGCCTCTTCCTCTTCTACAGCTTCTCCATCACCCTGGCCTTGGTGGCGGTGTGGGTGGCCTGTCTGTGGAGTGACCAGACCCTGCGGAAGAAGTACCCAGGGGTGATATATGTCCCCGAGCCCTGGGCCTTCTACACACTGCACATCCAGGGCCAGCACTAGCTCTCAGGACTCGGAAATAAAGGCAGACAGGATGCCTTGGCTACAAAAAACGAATTCCCTCTATGCAAAGGAAAAAGAAGGCATCCCTGGGGAGTGCCAAGGTCTTGACTTGGACCTGACAAGATGGATCTTTTTTATCATTCCAAGTAGGCTGCCCCATCCCTCCAAGCCGAGGTGATGGTGTCCTGTGCAGACCCTGCACAGTTCCCGTTCCTTAGCGAGTGCTCAGTGTGCGAAGACAGAACTGTGACAGCACTTGCTCTGGTTCATAGATATCCCTGACAGACTTCGTCAGACAGTGTTATATATTTGACCTTCCAAAAAAACTGGGCATTTATAAAGTGAGTGAGCAAAAACGTCCTAGCATCCTGGATGCAGAAGGTTGCATCCTGAAATTGATTCATCCTGGACGATGATGTGTGGAAGACATCCAGATGGGACCATAGGGAGCTTACTCACTTGCACAATAATTGTGGACACAGTTATGTTGCATGTCTGCACAGTCAAGCCATCACAGACAGAAATGTAGACATATTGAGCTGACAGCATGCTTTGGTGCGTATGCTCTTGCCCATGGAAACACAACCTGCAAGATGTGTTCATGTTTGTGTTTGTAGTTGTCCCAAATTGCAGTGGTGCAAGGCTTTCAAGATTCCATTGCTTGAATTGGGCAGTCACTGGTACTATAATATGACACTGGTACTTCTAATTAGAAAAAAAAAGTCATCCACATAAACTCATTTGTTCAACAACTTATTTTTTCTTATTTGACTTGTGTGCTACAAATTACTGTAGATGTCTGCAGACTGCCAGCTTGCTAGTCACTGTCCAGCACTCCACACTGATTTTTCCTGTGACCTTCCAGAGCCTGGGACACCGACTGGCAGCTGTGATCACACAGAGCTGGTGCCCTTACCCACTGGACTAACACAGATCTCCTGCTGAGTGTACTGTCCGGACTGTGTCAGGCCCGTACAGGCCACAGACAGACTCATCCAATCTCCTGTGAGGGACAGCTATAAACCTTGCCTGTGGTTCTCCAGTATAAGGCCTATCCTGATAGAGAGCAAGCCTAGATGAGACAGGCTTGACTGGGCAGTGGCGGAGAAGTACTGTTGACTCTTCTCCGAAGACAGCACCACATTGCAGCTACCTGGCGTAACCAGCATGATACAACCACACAATCAGACCAGTCTGCTAAGCAGCTTTAAGATGCAGGATCTTTTCAAAGCTAGCGTTACACCTTTTACCCTATAATGAGTACACTGGCATACATATACAGTATGTGTGAAGTTTAGATAATACCAAGTACACTGCACCTGCTCTTCTGCACCATTAGTATGTGTTTTATGAGATTCATAAAACCTGTGTTGTAAAACCTTTAGCGTTTTACCTGGTAGAAGGTAAAGGTGGCTTTTCCGGACAAGCTTTACACGATTCACAAGTTTTGCCCTCATAATGTAATGTTTCCTAGTTTTGTGGGTGAGTTTGCGAATAAGGTCACACAACAGTGAACTGTCCACTTTCCAAGGGCTGGGTGATTTTAGCTTTTTAATGATTTATTTTATGTCTATGCCCGTGTTTGACCTGATTTGCCTTCATGTACATCGTTTGTTTCTTCCCTGTTGGACGTGTACTGTTCTAACTATAGCACTGAATTCCTCGGAAATCGGCTTATTAAAAATTAAATTGACTTTTGTTTGTTAACAAAACAAAAAAATAAATCGATGAGTGCTTACTGTTAATATTCTTGTTTTTAAAGGCTCTTACAGAAAAAAGAGTCATGGCACTATGGCACGAACCTCACTGTCCCTGTGTGCAAGACTCATGAGCAGAGGAGATGAATGGACATCCGTCTCTCCTCCATTCTCCTCTGTCAGCACAGGTTTTTGACCTGACACCATTAACTGTCCCAGAGCAAAGCGTTCTGCCTGGGTGCCCTCATTAATGCTAACCAAGATAAGGCTCCATATGAGTGCAACTGACAAACATACGTATAGACATACGTTTATTCCATGCTGAAAAAAAGAAGAAAGAAAACTACGTTTCGGCCGTGGAGCCTTCTTTTCCTCTCTTCTCTTTTCAGCATGGAATAAACCTATTACTTGTTCCTTTGCAGCCTACGCATGCTGACACAGCTACCCACCTGAACTACATATGTATAGCATATAGTTTATGAAACCAAAGCAATTAATTATAACATGCAAAGTTGGCTCGTTTTACTTACAAGCAGTATGTGTTTTAACTGATGTATGCGTACGCCAGCAATGCGAATTGAGTTCTCTTTCAGTCCAGGCAGGTTAGACTATACATTGTGCTGGCTTTAAATATTTAAAGAGATGTCCCAGCCTGACAGCTGACAAACTGGGGACTCCAACACTCACCTTGCCCTCAGAACTGGTCTTCTTTGCTTGTACTTGGCGTCAGCCTTGACACTGTTACTGCTGTCTAGGTAATCTGGGGATCGGTGGATTTGATGATGTGTGGTGAGCGTTGTAGCGCACTATGGCTGCCGTTGCATCATCCAGGTGGGGCTGCACACTGGTGGTGGTGGAGGGGATCCCCATTACCTGTAAAGCGCTTTGAGTGGAGTGTCCAGAAAAGCGCTATATAAGTGTAAGCAATTATTATTATTTCTCTTGAGAAGTTGTGTTTCCCTTCCTCAGAGGTTCTTTTCCTCGGATTCCCCTTCCTCAGCACCGCAGGCCGTCTGGACAGGACTGGCCTCCACATCCCACATCCGCCCACACCCAGTGGAGCTGGCTGTTCGTCTCGCTCCCCAGCCTCCGGCCCCTGGCCTCACTGGGACGGATCCTCACCGAGGAGGGTGGCGGTGGTGGGGGGAGGGTGGTTCCTGATGCCCGTGCAAGGTCCCTTGTGTTCTGATCGTTGTTCTGAAAGACTAACAAGTAAGACAGCACAGTGGCACAGCAGTGAGCATCGCTTCCTCGCAGCGCTGGGACTCTGGGTTCAGTTCCACACCTGGGGTGCTGTCTGTGTGGAGTTTGCAAGGGTGTCGTGCAGGTGCTCCAGTTTCCTCTCACAATCTAAAGACATACTGGCAGCTCAATTGCCCTCTGGGTAAACTGGCACAAACTGTGTCTGTGTGTGCCCTGTGATGGACTGGCATCCCATCCAGGGTGTGTCCTGCCTTGCTCCCAGTGCTTCCCGGAATTAGGCTCCAGCTCCTCCATGACCCTCAGTTAGATAAGAAGTTAAAAAGACAAATTCCTAATGTGAGAAATTGTATATGGCCAATAAAGTGATCTTATAATAAGAATCATAGCATCTATTTCTACACACTTATTATTTGGCACCGCTTAAAATCACAGTTGATCCTTTTTAAAGAATGGCTTCTTTGATCAGTGTTTTTTTTTTTAGAAGTATTTTTGCTGCAGGGATGAGAGCACTGGGAGGAACTGTGCATTTTCCTTTTCGTATTGTATTTGAATTAAATACAGGCTTTATACTGTAGATCGTCTGGCATCCGTGACCAACTTTGGGATTTTTTTTTTTGCTAGTCACGGAAGTTTGAAGTTGCTTGGGGACCATGAAGAATGGCGCCCTCTATGGGTTGTGGACAAGTACTATTTTCATGTTTTTTTGTGTGTTTTGTAAAAGGTTCAGTTTGGTGTGGACAAAGACTAAACATTTCGCTTGTTTGTAAGCACTCTTTGGGGGTAAATGCTTCAAGACTTTGCAATGGAGTATAATATAATATATATATGCGCGTAAGAAGGTTTTTGCTTAAACAGGTGTATAAAACGTGGCCACACTTGTGTTTCAATTGTTTAGTAACATTTTTACTTGAATCGTTGTCGTTTATTTCTTTCCCCCGAGAAAGAATTTCCTTCTTCCCAGTACTGGATCGATGAACTGTCCAGTGTTCTGACCACGCCCTGGAGCCGGGTAGCTCCGCCCTCACCTGAATCAAGGTAGCGGGTTCCTCCAAGGAGGGAGAGCAAGAGGTGGTCCGGCGAACATTCGCCAACAGTCGTTCTGACAGTGTGGCAGCTCTCGCTGGAAGGTTTCCAACAGTCCCATCAACGCGATGCTGCGACAGCGATGGCAACTGTGTTGGAATGGGTTGTCGTAACGTCTTAATGAAAATAAATATTGGAATTAACTGCTTTTTAAGTATCAGTATTTTACGTTGCAAAACGCACAACCAAACCATTCTAGTTCACTTTTTTTAACTTAATCTTTCTGGGGGGAAAGCTGTCTACTCCTAACAACAATAATAAAAATAAAATAATAATTCTGTACACTTATATAGCGTTCATATGGGCAATTAACTCAAGGCACAAGTAATGGAGACCCCTCCACCACCACCACTGTGCAGCCCCCACCTGCATGATGCAGTACACTAGAAAGCAGCTTGGCCATACTCTGCTGAATATTTTGAGTAGAGGGCATAAACTCAAAGCTCTAAATTGTCATAGTTCATCGGTAATTCAATTTTAACTGATTGTGTTGTCACAGAGCAGAGGTATAGTCTCCCGAACGGCTTATAAATCTTTATTTTGCGATCTTCTCCGCACCCAGAATAGAAAAAAAAAAAGTGTTCTTCTGAGTTCTTTGTCATGCCTCCTGTACAGAGATAGCAGCCGAGTTGCGGTATGAGTTTCCACGGTCACTCCAGGGGGTGTATGCCAAACTGCTGCACGGATGACTGGTATTTAGTAAACGGGTGGCGAGGACAAGTTTTCCCCACAGGCGTCTTCACTTGGGTCCCCGTCATCTTCCTCAGCCGCAAACTATCACCAAGATGCAGTGTGCTTTCACGTTAATGTAACTCTTATTTCAGTTAAGAGTAGACCCGCAATTATCAGAGGGCTTATGATGTCATGCAGCTCGTTTGGCTCGGTGGTTAACCCAGTCAGCGGTTCTTGTAAACCCCTATTAGAGGGATGTTATTGATAGTGTTAGCAAAGGAGAGAATGGAATTCCTTATAATATAATAACCGGTCAGCTGGCTGACATTTGTGAGAAGTTCATTTTTTTTTAATACGAACATTACATAAAAACGTTTCATTCGGTCCTGTTGTCTTCATTAACTCAGAGATAAGGCGAGTACAACAGAGGCTACAATAACCAAGCACGGGATCGGATATTCCATTGTTCCTATAGCAACAAGGTGTTGATTACAGCCCCGGCGTTCGGACTTTAGAACTCGATGACGGAGGATGAACAGGTAGGGGTGGGGGGTTAGTGTGACGTCACAGAGCGAGAGGATAGGAGAAGTGGAGAGGAGATCTGTGTCACCGTAGCAGACATGGTGAGTGAGCTATACTATTTCGGTTATGTCGGTTATATTCGGATAAACTACATATTGATTTTAATTCGTTTAACTGATGTTTTGTTTCCTTTCCCTCAAAGGCGAAATTTCTATCCCAGGATCAAATTAACGGTGAGTGGCGTATTAAATTATTTCTTGTTCAGTCTGCCTCTTTACAGTTCAGCCTGTGGCGGAGTTGGTTTACATGTAAAGCTAATTGATGTCAGGACAAGGGAAGACTGTAGCCCACCCACTACTGCGGAGTTCAAACAACAGAAAAGCAGTCTAAAAAATGGGAGCATGGGATAGTTGGCTGAAAAGATAAATAACAGGAATATCTCACACGGAAGATGTCATATAAAATCGCCTACCCTGTGCCGTAAGAACTCAAAGTTCAAAAACAATTTTCGCTGGGAGTGTAATGACAAAGATCGCTTTCGTGTACTCCGAAATACTAGTTTTACTGTAGAAACTGCTACTACACCGTGGCCTAACAAGAGTGCCACAACAATGAGAACTGTGCTACGAAAAAATCCAAAAATAATAAGTAACAATTCCACCTCGGATGGTAATCAAGATCCATAGCCCTCAGTCCGAAAATATTTTTCTTACGTGTGGGTACTTACTGTAAATGAAGTCATTTTAAACTGAAGATACTGGATTTAAAAGTAACGTCTCCTGCTCTACAGCAAAGTGGAGCCTGGAGCCACACGGGAGAGTCACTTCAGTCTTTGTCTCCCAGAGTTCAAGGAGTGCTTCTCTCTGTACGACAAGAAGCACAAGGGGAAAATCGCAGCCCAGGACCTGATCACCGTCATGCGCTGCCTGGGGACCAGCCCCACCTTTGGGGAGGTGGAGAGGCACCTGCAGATCCACAAGATAGGTACAGTAACAGCCCGAAGCCCCAGAGGCACCCCAGCTCGCTTAGTCCAGCTTTGTGTGGGTGGTGGGGAGTTCTGGGTGACTCCTAAGGTGATGGACCTGATCCACATAAAAAAAATGTAAAATGTGTCAGACGAGGATGTTTTTGCTCAAGTGACTTTTCCATTTCCATCATTTGGCTATATTAGATACAGGCACAAGTCAAGGTTTATTCCATACTGAAAACAGAAGAAAAGAAACAAATTCTGGCTGTGGAGCCTTCTGCGGGTGTAAAGGGGCTCCACAGCCAAAATGTTGCATTTTTCTTCCGTTTTCAGCATGGGATACACCTTTACTTACTCCTTTGCAGCCTACACATGCTGAGGCAGCTCCCTACTTGAACTATATTACATATTATTAGTACAACTTTACAATTGCCCTCAAGCTATAGAAGCTTGCAAATATTTTGTTGGGCTGTGTTACAGAGGCCTGATTAACTTCATCAAGGTACAAATTACAGAAAACCTCTTCACCGGAAGCCATGTTGCTCTGAAGGCCCCACAGCCGAATGCTGGACTTCACATGGACCGAACCTTTACCTGTTCCTTTGCTCAGATAATGACTGTTCATACACCTCCTCCTTTGGCGCAGACAAAAACGGAGAGCTGGATTTCTCCACCTTTCTGACCATGATGCACCGGCAGATCCAGCAGGAGGACCCCAAAGCGGAGATCCTGGAGGCCATGCGCATGACGGATAAGCAGAAGAAGGGCTACATCCTGGCCTCAGAGCTGAGGGCGAAACTGACCGGGCTGGGCGAGAAACTGACCGACAAAGAGGGTGGGTCTCTGGACCAGCATGACCTCTACCCAGCCGAAACCAGAATATCACCATAGTATTGAGGCAGAGTAAAATTAATCAGAACGCTGTAGCACAGGGAGAGTGCTGGTAGTAATACATGAGGTATTAGGTTTGCAAAATCATCTCTTTTTTAGATATTCTGAGGGACGTTGGGGATAACAAATTTTGTAACCTATTCATTACAACCATCAAACCACCAACAATATTCATCTTACCAGAGACTACTAAAAAACTAGTCTGCAAAATAAAGAGGGGTTAGTAGTGACCAGAGTACTAATGCGAAACTCCCACCCCCTTCCAAAAGGGTTTCACTAATGTGTTCTCCTGTCCTCCGTATCCTCCGCAGTGGACGACCTGTTCAGAGAGGCAAACGTGCGTCCAGATGGCGTTGTGCAGTACGAGGAGTTCACAAGAATGGTGACCCTTCCACCGCCAGACTACTGAGATGGAGAGCACAAAGCTTCGTGGACGGCTGTCCTCTTGCCCAGCTCACTCACTCAATTATTAACCACGGCCGCATCCCCTTCCCTCCCCTGTAATCTATCCTGGCTGAATAGCACAGACGCATCTTCGGTATCAATTATTGCAGATAAAGTTAAAAAAGAGTAAGACAAAATTACATGAATACAAAGATTAAAAGTTTAAAGTGAACAACAACAAACATTGAAACATCCAACCATCACTTTTCATATACAATTTTGGTAGGCCGTGGCAGCTTAATGTGGGATGCATTACTAATGTCATTAGAGTGTATCACCATTAAGCACTTAGTGATCTTTAGGATAATGTGGATAATGGCTTTTGATTTAATGTAGGACTTAAATATTCTTCATTGTGCTAAGAATGTAGTATTTATTAGTGGTGTTATGTCTTGAGCTTGTCCTTAGGGAATGTGGTTTATAGAAATGCAGGACTAAGATTGCAATGTGTGATTAAATATTACATGTTCCTTGAAGTACCTCTAGGTGTCCTCTTTACAAAAAATAAAAGGGCTCTCTACAGAATTTGAAATATTAATTTTGCAGAATTTGCACAGCTTCACAAGACACACCAAAAGTGTTAAATGTGACCTCTGAAGTTTCCCTTTTCCAGATTTTTGGGAATTGAAAGCTATCAATAAAAAAGTATTTATTGGTAGATTTCAATAAAATATATTAGGGTTCCTTTCCACATTATTCTTACTAGTAATTAATAGTTTTAGTTTTTATACTTCTGGCCAGATAAAGTTTCTCAAGATTCCAGAGTTCACTTTCCTTTTCAAGCTGAGAAAGGCAGTTTATCCTAGTCTAGAATAGGAACTAGATGACACCAGGTGCTTATTTTAAAGCATTTGCATTAGCCTAGACTGCCACCAGGAACACATTGCTGTGGTAATATTTCTGTACAATCAAAATGATATTTTAAAGAAATCTTATGTAAATTCAGTATTCTTAAGCTTACCATAATTGATTGACTTACCATGCTTAATTGACTAACAATTCATATCTTACCTTATACCTTGAAGTGAAAACATTTACAGCAGTCAATTTAGATAGCTTTAGTTTAGAAAACAATATTCTGAACAAGTTAGCTGAATGCATTTTATTACATCTAAACTTCTCTACATAAACAGGTAACATTCAATAAGTAAACAATTTCTTCCAATGCAAGTAATAAATATTTTTCACTTGGTACTTTATACAAACTGACATTGGTCTACTGTACATCTTTTTCTTCTTTAAAAAGCCATTTTTTCTGGTTTGGCATGCCATAAGGAAACAGAATTGTGTGAGAAGATTTAAGGCAGTGAACGCATATGTTAGCAGATCTTTGACTTTTGAGGATAATTTGCTAGTCGGTTTGATTGTGGAGTCCACTTTGTGGTAAGATTCCTAAAAAAAGACAATCATTACTGGAACTTCCCAGCTCCGCAGAAAAAACCTGAGAATTTCCATCTTGCACACATATGAACCAGTTTCTTTTCCCTTTAGTTTTTTTTAAGCCATGAACATTACATATACGAAAAATTGGTGAACTGGTTTTATAAAATCATTTGCTTTACCTTTAACAATTTGCATTCAACTACAACTCAGCTAAACAATGGAAATGGTCAGCTGAGTCCAATATGCACAAGTGTTTGCTGAAACCCAACACAATGGGAAGTGCCAGCTCCTTAAAAATCAAAGCATAAAATAGAGACCGCATATAAACAAAATTGAATCCATCTGTAGCCGTGTTCCTAGAGCTTCATTCTGGGAAAGCATGCCTGTAATTTCAGAACGACATGTTTTTGAGCAAGGAAAATGGTCAAACATGAGTGGCATGTGCTACACCTGTATCAGGACCACAATCTACATTTACATTTGTCAAAAGCTTTAGGAAAGTTCGTAGATTATACAGAAACTAGTAATTGGAAAAAACTGTTCAAAAACACATGAAAATCTAGGTTCTTTCAACTATAAATGGACATTCTTTACTGAGCATGAGTGAATACTACAAAACTTATCACAGGAAACATACTTAGGCCACTAATTTTAGCCTTAGTGTTATTATGAAGTTCAAACCCATGATTTAATTTGCATAACTGAGGAAATCAGAAAAAACATATGCCCATTTTTTAATTTGCGTTTTTTGAGTGAGCCCTGATAATACCACTTGCCATCACAATTTCCAATTCATTGGCTTTATCCAGCTGTCCTTAGTATTGGGAATTGATACCGCATTCAAGAGTCCAGATGCCACCCCAACTGTGAAGGCCTCAGTGTATTACACACAATGTGAGACATTAAACAATAAGAATGCATGAGAACCTTTGTTACAATGCTTTGCTTGTGACCACAAAAAATTAAATAAGTTAATTACAAGGACAGGTGCATCAAACATGCTTCCTTAGGAACAAAACATGGGTAAAATGTACAGATCCTAAAATAAATACTGAACAATTTCTACATGAGAAACCAAAAACAAATAATCAGATTGGGCTTATTGATGAGGACCGCTGAGCCTTCTTCAAATGGGGACATGGTTTTGCAGGTTTTCTAGCACTACCTGCTAATAATGTACCACTCTTTACTCAGGGACTTAATCAAAGACTAATTAATAAATTTATTTTGGAAAGGTAAAATATATCTTTGGAAAGACAAGTGTGTCACTAATGACACAACAAAGATTCTGGCCTTCAGAAACAGGACACTCCAAGCGCATAATTGCAAATCATTGTACAAACACAACAATCAATAAACCAAACTTGGCTAACAACAAACCAAGACAGTCACCATCAACCTTGACTTGGATCTGGAATCTGGTCATTTTAGGAATTATAATTTTTTAAAACACACTCATCCTCCCCCCCACTAAAAATGCCCTTTTTTCTATCTGTCCATTTTCTCTAGAACATAGTTTAAAATGGAAACTCCTTACCACACTTTACTGGTTTTAAACTGAAAATATTTCAGCTCTTTGAGGAACTGATGTATAGGGTCTGTGTATTTTAAGTATGGAGGCTCAGTCATTTCCCTTCATTTATATTTTTATCTATGACTTCCTGACATTTTACCAATGATTGCTCAATAAGAGCAAAAACTGGGCAGTACAATGAAATGGCCAAAGGGATCGCTGGGTCGTTTTGATAGAAGTTTACTAGGTACGACACGGTGGGGACAGACGTAAAAAGATGGGCAGCAGCGGAAGGCACCTGTCAGAGATTCCGACAAACCACAATTCTCAGACCAATTACTACAAAACATGCAGCATTTCAGAAAGAACGACAATAGACAGTGGGCAAGTCAACAGGCCACCAATGTGCTCAGTCACGGTGCTCCAAGGACAACGCTCACCCTTTCAGGTGCTCCTGGTGACTACAAGCACACACAGTCCCCATCTCACAGTGACAGCGACACACAGCTGGAAGGCAGGGCGCGCGCAAGAGATGTGGCTGCATACGCATTCTCACATTTCCAACACGGACGTAAAAGCGAGAGAGGAAGCAGGAGAGCCCTCAGGAAACCTTTTTACAATGAGAAACACGTACAAATAGGGTACCCTCTTCAGGCGAGTCATTACAGAAAACCACACAACAAGCACAGCACTGGAGAACCTAGTAACGCAGGATTCCACCTGCACCCAGCCTCTTCATATCTACACTGCAGTCAGTCTAATCCCGTCATGCCTTATAAACACTCCCATCTAGAAAGGGAGTGCTGCCGAATGGACACGCAGGTGGGGACCAGCTGTAGTAAGCCAAGACACTCCCATCTCATTTTCTAAGTGAAAAAAACTACAAGCCTCCTTGCTTGTTGGTCAAGATTAGCTTTCCTAAATATGCCTTCTCTTCAGTCCATACTGAATCGTCACCTTCAGAACAGAAACAACCACATACCCACTGGTGAGTGGGAGGTATTTTTCCCACCAGTGGGAGCAAATCTTCTGCTACAGGTGAGGTCAGAGGAAAATGCAGAGCCTCTACAATGGGCCCAGGAAATAAGGAGGATCTACAGCACTAAATAAAAAAAACAATTTTAATTTAGTCACAGTAGAATACTTAATTGTAACTAGGTTGTGTATAAGTTCCCTATTTATTCATGGCTACTGATTCTGACCAGGACACAACAATCTTGTGACTAACTTATGTAGCAGGCAGGGTAGAGAACCAAGACACAGAATCTTGCCAATTTCTTGTTTGCTGAAAATGGAGACTTTTACAGGTTGTTTTCACAACTACAAGCTAATGGACAGAAATACCACAAAGCTATGTCTCAACTTTCCAAAGCTTAAGGGTAGAAGTGGCTGTAATGTTTCATAGTGGTTTTGTTCCCTTTTGATGGGCTGTGACTGAAACAGCTGAAGCATGCAGGTTTATGGTGTTTCAGGTTGCAATTACAGGCCATTAAGCATTAACTTTAAAAACATGAGAGATCTCCAAAAGATTACCAAAGGAAGGAGTCCCAGAAAGAACACCACCAAAAAAACACCGTAATTAAGAGGGTGAGGAAAATAATATTCACGGTTTCCAGCATCTCCAGAGAGGCCTTCACTGCACTGAACTGCACATACCACAGCCTAACAGTAACCAACTGCATGGAAAAGTACAGAATTCTCCATAGTCAGCAAAAGCAAGAGGGTCAAATACATGGCAACCAGATACCTTGCTTCTTCTTTAAGCAGAAGACAGGTACCAATTCCTCCACCTCCTTCAACAAGTCTCCCTCCCTCTAGAAGCCAGCCTCATGCTTCTGAATCTCCTTGTCAAGGTCAGACACCAGACCCAGCAGTCGCATTCCCAAGGCGATGCACTCCTTCAAACAGTATTCATTTCTATACCCTGTGGGTTTGCTTTAAAACCCTGTTCTTGCAAAACGCGTGACCTTCCCCACACTGCCCAGTCAGCAATGGCCTATACCGAGACGCCATACCATCACAAGTGCTTTAGCCATGAGCCGAAGGAGGGTGACATGCTTGTGTTAGGAGCGCAAGATAAACTTTGTTTGTTTTTTGGCATTGTGCAAATGGAAACAGTGGTTGAAAATGCAAAAAAAATGCTACATTTATAAAAACAAAGCACTAAAATCCTTAAATGCTAACTTTTTAAACAAAATATAGTCTTTGTTAATATTACTTCAACTTAAAATAATCAAGAGTATAGAGCAAAATCATTCAGAGGGTAGATTTAGGCCCAGACAGTTCAACTGGGAAGTCAAGAACCAACCTGGCTTTATAAAGAGAAACCAGAAATGGCATACTCTATCCATCTGCACACTCCCCATAGCTACATCCTGAAAAGGCAAAGGGAATGCTTTTAAACATGTCTTATATTTTACATAACTTAAAGGATCTTAAAATTATTTGCACAAAAAAAGAAAGAATAAAACACTGTCAACCACTGAGAGTTAGAATTCTTTCCGAGAAGAAAGACTCCTACAATGATTTTAAAACGAGAGATTGGATACGTTAAAAACCAAACAATATCACTGTGAAGAAAATAATGCCATTGATGTGGAAATAAAATAAAAATACAAAAAAAAAGGTATAATATAATTAAGGGACAACAAATGTATAACTGTGAAAAAATCTTCAGTATCCACAAAAAATATCAACTGAAGTTACTCACTGGACAGGCAAAGTCCTAAGTTTATATACAAAAGTAAAACTGAAAATATATTTTTGTTCTCTGTACACAGCATCGTTCTTTTTATCCTTTTTTTTCTTAAAAAAGACCTCTCCTTTTTTTCCTCCCCATTTTGTTTCTGAGTGTGTTTTTCTTTGTCTCGACTGGTGTGGAGAGGATCAGTCCTCACGCCCCGCGCCCGGCGGTCAGTCCAGCGAGATGACATCGGGCATGGAGCCGTAGATGGCGGCGGCGGCCTCGGCGGTGGCCCGGGTGGGGCCCGGGTGGCCGTGGCTCTCGCGCAGGCTGCTGGACGACACCAGGCTGCTGCTGCTGCTGCTGCTGCTGCCGCCTCCGTTGGCTGGCACCAGGGCGCTGCTGACCGGGGTGCCGGGCTGCTCCAGGTACATCTGCGAGGAGTTGTAGGGCAGGAAGCGGTTCAGGGAGGGGTGGAGCATGTCGTGCTCGTCCGAGGCCGATGCGGCTGCCGCGGCGGCCACCAGCAGGTTGGTACTGTAATGCTGTGGAAACGCCAACACACACAGCACAGGTAAGACACGGGTCACGGGTAACACTCTCGTCCTGCATCTCCCCTCTCCCGCACGGGCAGTGCTTCCTAACCACCCTCCGTCACCAGCAGGCAACAGACTCACTGCGGCATCCTCCAAAGCACTTGGCTCTTACTGACAAGGCTCTAGCTTACTAGATACTGTCACATGCCAAGACGTTCATTACAATTTAGAGCAAATAATGCATAAATGGAAATTCAGAGCTCTAGAAGCTTTTACTGCCTCTCAAGAGATGCAATAGCTACAGGACACTAGTCCCGGCTTTGGAAAGAGTTTCTGGCATCAATTAGCAAACAGTGTCCTCTGCTGGTATACCAAGTATACCATTTTAGCATGTAGAACTTTGAGTAGTCTCTTGGAACTTCTAAGAGTTTGCTTCAATTACTATAAATGAATTCTTAACAGCTGTTCCCTTCAGGAGAGAGAAAGGTGTGAATGACAGGGAATCAAACACACCTACACTTTTCTTCAAAGGTAGAATTAATTATGTATCAGGTAACACACCTCAGAAATTAGTCCTCAATTTTTTATCAAATAAAAATTCCAATCAACATTTTAGGAGCAGTAAAATTTAAAAATATATATAAAGAATGAAATCAATTAGACTGAGAACTTAGCTAAAACAAAAGCTAGAGGACACAGCCTTCCTCCTATAGCGGGGCTGAGAACCACTGAATCAGAGCAAGCTTCGTGTGTGGGAAACCTGGCCACTTACAATGGCACCTTTCAAGTACTCAGCAGGTCGCTAACAAATGTACTGGCTGGCCTCATTCCAGCCCCATTCTACTCTTTTATAAAACAGTTTCAAGTGAGGACTGAGAATTCCGTAGGAAATCAGCTCAGCTTTTCAAATGGCGGAAACGGTAAACATGGATAAACTATTTTACATCTCATGTTCAGTCCCTCGACCCATAAAAGCCTGAACCTGTCTAGGTAAATCTTGCTTGCATCATCAGCTATTAATCACTTACCTGATTGTCACCTTGCAAAAATGGGAAGAAATCCAGACCTATTTTAAAATGGAAAAAAAAAGAAAAATCAATGTTTTCTGTAGATATTTCTACATGCTCACTGCTACATATTACAATTTCAGAAGTTTTTTTTTATTGTAACCACACTAAAATTATAACAGAATACCTCCCCAAGTGTGACAGTCAAAAGAAGATTAAAAGTTCCCTGACTTCAATTTAAAAAAAAAACCCTTAGTCAGGAGGTACTAAAGTAGTTAATAAGAAAATGGTTCAGATAAAAACCTCTTTTAAAAATTACTTCATAATTAAACTTACAGAAGACTGCATTATTTAGCAGTGCATCATTAACACCAAGGCAATGTCAAACTGCAGGTGTGTGAGCTCCAGTACAAGTGTCAGCAGGGCACTGTTTCAGTTTGCCAGTGTGGTAGCGTGACAGTATGAGTGCGATTGGGAGCACTGCGGCAGTACCTTGCAGTTCATAGGGCAGCGTGTGATAAGAATGGCGGTAGTCCTGGATGAGGGGGGGCGGTGGGGGGATGTAGTTGGTATCCACAGGGGGCATGCTGGGTGCCCTGGCCACTGGTGATGCTTGATGGTGCAGATTTAACACCCTGCACAACAAGAGGAGACCACACATCAATCAAGCACACATAAACTGAACCAAGACTGTCAGTAACACTGTTAAGCCCTCTATCTTTTACAACACAGACTATTTTTAACAATTCAGCACAGCACATTGCATGCACAGAAAACAAGTGGGATCTACACCTGACAACAATAAACAAACTCCTTACACAATAAAAACAACAATGATAATAAACCATCTCTTACATAATATCTTACTAAATGTAGGGGCACAGAAATCTCAAATTCTAAAGTGATTATGACGACTAAGGTTGTATAATATTTTTCAAAGTCAAACTTTCTGCATTGAACGTGTACACCTTGCAGTGCAATTGACTGAAAGATTCCTCATAAAAAAGGTCAGACTGTACAATGTGCCATTACAAGTGGCATACAATGCAGGACAGCATTGCAGAGGCACTCTCACTCACCCCTTGTTGACAGGGGGTGAAGCAGGAGAGAGTGAGGGGCAGGTCCTCTTTGGAGGGGGCTCCTCATCCTCCTCCTCATCAGAAGAGCTGTCCAGCGTCAGGTCGATCACCTCCACCTTCTTACTGTTAGAGGAGCTACTGTGTCTGTGTTCGGGGATCGCAGTCCGACAGGCTCCTGAGTGAATACAGAAGTAAAGAAGCACCACTTACAAAACCTCTCTCACTTTGCACCAAGTACTCCCCGCCTCTCTATAAACGAGACCGCTATCTGTAAGTGTTAGAGTAAACACCCCCATATGAAAACCACACAGTTCATTTTCACATGAAAATATTTAATACTGCTCAAAAATTTACCTAAAGACGTTTGTAATTCCCGTGCAAAAACTCACAGCTTTAACCTGCAAATCTGCTTACCATTCAATCCATTCTGAACTAGATCTGTTATAACCAGCTCCCTAATTATAATTCTAAAGTTTAACGACAGGTTTTGTTAAATCTCTTTAGTTTAAAGCGCTGGGAAATTTACTGTCTGATGAGTGCTGATCTGCTGACAAGGAAGAAGCACTGTACCTTCTACTCCATTGTAAGAATTGACTTGCTGCACTTCCTTCTTTGACCGCATGGGGGCCCAGCTACCGTCCTCCTTGAACTGGATCTCATCACAGTCCACACAGCTGTTGAGGATCTCCATGAACAAACTACCCAGGGAAAAAGTGTGCAGTCAGGACAGTACTGTGCAGACAGAAGCAAACTACAAACAAAGTGCAGCAATTGTTCTGAATTGAACAAAGATATTTTACCTAGAATCTTTAGACAGTTTTATATTCTTCTGATATAGTTAATATAATGGAATTAAATTATGAATTAAATGAATCTAACTTAACAATAGACTGACCTTTTCCCTATTAAATAATTCTATTTTTTAATTGTATTTACCACAAAAATATTGTTTTTAGGATTCTAGTAAGGATCCAGGGTTCTTTTTGTCCTTCATACTGTCTAAAGTTAAAAAAAAATAAACATACAATTTTTTCTTGGGGATTATTTGACAAAGACAAAAAAGGAGATAAAGTAAGGTAAACGAAGTGTGAAGTGGTCATGCTGAAACGGAGACATCATAACCGCATTCGGGTGTTGCATTTGCAATTTGTATTTTTGTATTTTTCAAACCAAGTAGTGCATGTTTGTTCCTTTGGCATTGTGACCAATGGCATAGAGAGGAACAGGGCCAGTAAAGTCCCTCAGCAGGGCCCTGTGTCCTTGCATGGCATGTAGTGCTACAGTGACAGGTTTGGTATCCTCTAACTGTAACTGAAGACACTTTGAAGTCAAACCACTGACATCACCACTGGTGGGAAGCACTACGGAGCAGTAGTTCATTTTCCTCAAAACTGAGGTAAAAAAACATTTAAGCAAAGTCTGTTTTTGGGAGCGACAAAGGCCAGACAAATTAAATATCACCAAAAACCTGAGGGTTTATTCAGTATTGGCGCACAATAAAGTACGATCTGTGCAGAGGCAGTTCTGCTTGTGCCGACTTTATTCTGCTCTTAGCATACTGCTGGGGCTGTATTGTCAGTGTAACATACTACACAACATGTTATGGATGGGCTCCAAAACGTTGCAGTGACATAGCCAACAGTGCAGGCTGTAGTGCTATCAGCCCAGAAAGCAATGGCACGCAGTGCAGGCCAAATAAACAGAGAGGCCACTAACCCATCAATGATGAGGTGCTCGTAGGGAGCCTTCTTATCGCAGACAGGACACACCCAGGTGGGCTTCTTCTCATTCATCTGGATGTACAGCGTGGCGTCAAAACACTGCAGGTGTGAGCAGGTCAGCGCCCGGCAAGGGATCATCAGCCGCATCTTCCCCAACTGCAGACACCACACAAAATCACAAGTGTGCACCAAAAGCATGGGAGTTAGTCAGTCTGACTTACTTCACAGGTCCCCAAAAGGCAAGGAGAGGACCTCTTTTCTAAACATGAGGAAGAAAAAAAAAATTCTAGCATGGCTTTATATTGACAATTCATGTTTTAGACTTTTTACTACGCTTTAAGATGCATATCCAGAATGGTTCTATATAACAAAGGTTTCTGTTGCTGTACAGATGCAAGCATTTGCAGAGACGGGTACATGCATAGAGTTTTAGGTTAAAATCTCAGTCTTAATTTGCATTGAATTTTAACATCATTCAACAGGTCTGCTCACGAAGGATTACATTTTCAGGAATTACATTTATGTTCTTGCTGGTTTAAAAATGTAAATTGGACAAGCTGAAGCTCTCATTATCCTTATAAAAATAACACTCCACATGCTACCACATGTCAACAGATATGTTGTACTTTTTTTTTTTAAAGGGCCAGATTCTGCAATTCAGGAATCATGCAGAAATATCATTTGCTATGACAACATTGATTTCAAATCTAAAATGAGGAGCTTCACAGCAGGTCACAGAGCCCAGGCATGAGCAGTGCGAACTAAGTCAACTCTTTTCTGGTCGTGCTGCAGAAACATCCTTACCGGGCAGAGCAGAGATACCCGCAGACTGGTAGTGGCGATTTCACTGTCAGGATCAGCCGTCAGCTTCTCCTTAACTACGGTCAAGAAAGATCAGGAATGATTACCCTTTCCACCTCACACTAAATCTCAAGTCTTGACCAGAACGAATGATAAAGCACTGCAACACAGTACCAAACAGCTATGCCCTCTGTAAAGAGTTAAACAGTGGGCACACTGTCTCACTTCCCTTCAGTCTCTAAGTGTCAAGAATAACATTTACATAATGTCTGAGTTTAGTTTGCACTTCCTGCCTTCATGTCCTTTCCTGGGGAAACCAGAGAACCACGAACATCCAAAACAGTTAACTCAGAAACTTTAATAAGCAATACTGTCAGGGAGGCAGACACCCCCACACAATTACACTGTCAACATCTGCATGTAGTCATACATACTGAGTGCTCTGGAGTGGTCTGGGTTCCTTATGCCTTTTGACCGTAACCTCTGCAACAATACCGAGGAGGACTGTTGTTTTACAAGATACACTGCCATTGAGTAGCTCTGTTGGGGGGAGACAAAAAAAAGAAAGATTTCAATGTAATTTATAAGAATTTAAGCAAGCATCTTAATAACCTGCAAGTTGGCATTTTTAATTAAAGCAACTCAAATCGTTGGAAAACAACACTCTCTCCAAATATAATTCAAGTAGGTTAGAATAATTGTAGGCTATTGCATTGAACTGTAGGCTTATGTCAGCTGAAAACTGCACCTCCTGGGGAGCTAATTGAACAAACCTTTTCCTGACAGCTTGAAACAACTCAGCTATACCTTGCCACGGGCACAGTTTACATAACTTTGTCTTCCAAGGTCTTTTGATGTGGTGGAAGCCGCAATAGGTAGACTTCACCGTGAAGGTATGTCCGACTTCGTTCAGACATGTTTATCAATATAAATAATTAGTGTGCCAAATGTGCACTCCATCATCTTTGTACTCAAATGTGTTGAGTGTAAATATTTAACAGATAAAGGTACAATGCCAGAGAGCACGATGCAGTCTTCAAACTGTGGGGCTGGCACAAATTAATCAGCTCTGCAGGTAAGCTCTGAAATAATAAGAAACCCCAACTTGTTTCTACACTATTTTTGCCAGGTTGTCACAGAAATGGGGGGGAGGGTGGTAAAACTACAGGGTTTTTCTGTATGATCAACAGGGGAGTTTGTTTAAAAGGCTTGATAAAAAGGGCATCCAAAATTACATTCATTAACTAGGTGGAGCTTAATTCTATGATCCATGAATCACGGGTTCATGGTTCAAGTTTCGCTCATGAACAGAGTAAGGGGGCTCTATTGTTAAAATACAGTAACCCTTCAGGCTCCTGAGTACGCACTGGTTCGTGGTGCTGATCTCTCCTCTGATCGGGGCAAAACACGATCTTGGTGCAATACTACAACTATTTTTTTTTTTAATGTTTAAAAATTACTGCAATTCCTGAATGTCCTTCATTTAAAGCTGCACTGTAGCAACATGAAAAAACCTTGGCTTACCCTTCCAATTTCAGCTGTCCATGACACCACGATGGTGTTGGGTACTGTTGTGGACAATCTCACCAGTGAGGTAATGTTGATAGGTCGGCTGGGGCGCTTTGGTTCTACACCATTTTTGGTTGGAGGAAGATATCCCTTGGGAAAGAACAGCATAAGATATTACAGATTGCGCTCCTAAACAGTGAAGTCTTCTCTGCATTATAAAGGCCACAAGTTTATAGACTTATCACACTAATCAAGATTTCTTTTTCGATGATGTCTAAGTGTGCGCTCATCTCCTTAAAGTGATAAAAGCACACTGGTCTACAACTATTAACATGACAGGGGGTGATGGACAACACTATGTGTCAAAACTTAGACATTCTGTTTGCCAGACAAGTGCCTACTCTAGGTATCGGGGTACTCTTCAGAAAAGCAGTCTAGGTTTATAAAGCAGTTTACTCAGTGTCACCACTCAAGTATGGCTGGACTCCAGCACGACCCCAGTGTAAGGCGTGAGGTCAGGGCAGTACTCACTGGGAGATTACAGGGTTTCCCGTTCACTTTCACACACAAATTAGGAGGAAAGTGGTCTTCCTGAGGACAGCTCGTTTCTGATAAGCAGAACCTGGGAAGAGATTAAAACATACACCACATATTATATAGCATGCTTTCTGTTCAGGTCAAAGCTGGGCCCAGCCAGATAGCAGCAGGCTTACAGAGAGGTGACAGCTCCTCATAATGAAGAATAAGGAGTGTAATAATAATCTTGTACATGCAGGAAAAAAAACCAAGTCAGTAAGAATTGAGGGCACTGAAAGAAAGGAACTGCAAAATAAATCAACTATATAAATCTGGACCTAGTGTCAAAACAGTGTATTACTCAAAGGTAGGGCAGGGTAATATAATGACTATCACACACCACATACCTTGACATTTTTTATGTTAACAATGAAAGAAATAACTATAATTATTGGTTGACAAGTTGAAACATCTTTGAAAATGGGATCCTTTTTATTTTGTTTTCATATGTATTATTAATTACATCTCAGATTACTACAATTTCCCTTTATTTTGGACATTAGTTATTGCTTGTGTTAAGACCTTAGAGAATCAGCCCCCTCAAATGTCTTATGCAGCTGATATAATTTTAAAGTATCTTGAAATGTAATGTGTCTGATTTGTTGGCTCAAAAATCTGTATTGATAATTACTGCTTTACATTTCATTCCTTTTATTGTACTAGTACTGTGTCCTAAGTTTTGCCACAATGTATAGCTGCCTGACTGCTTTCCGCCTTCTTTACCCAGCTTTTGTCAAAGCCT